CAGCTGATTTCACAAGGGCGCCCTCAATGTAATCTAAACTATTAAGTTTATATGTGACCTCAATTCCACTTCCGGGTCAGCAAACTGTTCTCAGGTGCGTTTTAATTTAGTCCTAGTGTTTCGCACACAGAAAATAATAAAATATTAATTTGTAAATATATAAATAAATAAAATAAAATGTTTGGTTTGGGGCGCGATATACTAGTATCTAACATAGAGGGCGTCCTGCTGCCAAATCAGCTGCGGCCCTGGCCTCGATCATAAAGGGATTTTTCTTTAGCTTTCTTTTCATAAATACTCAACTGAACGATCATGGTATATCCATAATTCGCCCTTTACGAAGGGTTTAGTGTTTTTTCAACAGGTTTAGTCTTTTTCAACAGGTTTAGTCTTTTTCAATAGGTTTAGTGTTTTTCAACTGGTTTAGTGTTTTCCGGGGTTTCCACTCAACGGTTTCTGTTGAACCTCTTGTCCGCCCCTCTACAAAAATTGTGCTATCAAATGTTCCCCCTTTTTTACCTGACAATTTTATTACAGATGCCTTAGCTAAATACGGGCGTGTCATGAGCGCGGTGCGAGCGATCCCACTCGGGTGCAAAAGACCAGCACTGAAACATGTGAAGTCTTTTCGCCGCCAAGTTTATGTACATGTATATTTAAAAGATCTCAATATCAACGGTTTATTGCCTATTACTTTTCAAGGTCAGACATATAATATTTACGTTTCGTCTGACGAATTGACGTGCTTTTCATGTAACATGAAGGGACATACACGTAAAACTTGCCCAAACTCTCAAACAACGAATATGCAAATGATGAATGATGAAAACAATAGTGCTCAAAATAGCACTCAAACAGACTCTCAACAGGTGAATGTAGCAACTACTAGTAATTTAAATTCCCCTGACACATTGCACGACAAAGACGATGACATAACTGATATAATTAACACCCAAGCACCAGATACTGAGATAAACAATCATGAGACCGATGGTACAACAGATAACATT